TTTACAGAACAGAAAAAAATGTAAAGAAGATTAAGAGCTATCCTTTTCCATCATCTTTTGCACTTCTTAATAATTTTTTTGAGAAGTTAGATGGGAGCTGTTTTTCAACTTCTTCATAAAGTTTTCTCTGAGATCTATACTCTTTATTAGCTTTCATAAACTTGGCTAACCTTTTCTTAAGCTTTTTTCCAAAAGCAAAATAGCATATAATAATTTCTTGATTCACACTTTCAATTCGTTCTTCAGCCTTAACAATTGCACTATATAAATCAGAAAAATTACTTGGGCTTATGATAGATTCAGCCTAAGAAGTAGTACTACTTGTTGAAGAGCTTGGCAATTTTAGCTCCTCAATAAGTTTTTTTAACATAGATATATTTCTATCTTTAGTCTTTACTTTCTTACTAGATAATTTATTTTTAGGAGCATCTTTACTAGATCTTTTACAGGATTCTTTTTCTAAAGAGATAATGCTTTGGTCTATTGTACAATTACCTTCACTGTCTTCATTATCATCTACATCTGATATTTCTTCTTCTATAATTTTTGGCAAATCTTGAGATTGGATACTATGTTTTTCCATCCTTCTAACTACTGATGATGTACTTGATTCAGAACCTCTCCTATGCCTTGTTTCAACCTCCTCACTATAACCAGAAAATGGATACATATTTGGAATTGTAAGTAAAAGTTTTTTTTCAATACAAAATCTATAAAACACATGTCTACAAGATTGTATTGTAAATGTTTTAAGAGGATGCAAAATAATATTTTTTCCACATTCTGAACAATTACTTAGATTTGAAATTTTTTTATTCTTAGCAATACTATCCTTTAGAGATTTTAAAATACTATATATGAGATTTTTGATGTTATTAATGGGAATAGATGGTGTGAAAGTAAAAGTGGTAGACATATTTCAATTATAATCAGATAAGTTTTACATAATGAAATCTCTTATACTTAGCTTATTTTATAGTGTATCCTTCATGACTAAAAAAATAATTTTAGATACTAATTTCAGATTTGATAATCTGTTCATTCACGAATTAATTAGTACTGTATGAGCCAGAATCGCTAGATCTTTGATAGCAATCGTGAAGAAAGGGGGCATATACTTCATAAATTTTTATTTTATATTGACACTTTAAATTTTCAAGTTTATTAGCATTTTGATAAAACCACATTTTATTAATAGTCTATCTGGTTGATAAAGCCATTTCTTCACTGCTCGCTGAATTATTATAGCTGAACTTATTCATTTTTTCTATAAACAATATGCTCGCTCGATGATAATAGCTGATTGATTTTTTATATA